GTTCTACAGTCTCTCTTCCAGTATGTTGAGATTCTTTTTCGGAGTAATCTTCTTCTCCCTTTCCGATAATCTCTTCTCTTTCGTCATGTTCCAGTCTTGCATTTTCTTCTCCTCCTCCAACCATTTCTTCATAGTCTCTTTCATGCTCCTCTCTTCCTGTATGTTCATCTTCTCTTCCTTGCTCTCCATCTTCACTTCTTAACCTTTCCTCTTCTCCTTCAATTATTCCTACATCATCTCTTCCAGTCATTCTTTCTTCTCTTTCAGTATACTGATTTTCACTTCCAGAATGTAATTCTTCTCTTCTAAAGTCCCCATTATCTTCTTCATTATGCCCCTCCTTTACACTTCCAGTATGTTCCTCTCTTTCAGTGTAAGCGTCTCTTCCACTAAGTTGTTCCTCTTCACTTTCGATATGTTTATCACTTTCTCTTTCGGTATTCTTATTTTCTAATTGTTCGAAATCTTCCTCATCTTTTCCAAAATGTTCTTCGTCTCGTCCAGAATGTTGGCTTTCTTCTCTTCCAAATCCGTTTTCCTCTCTTCCTGTATGTTGACTTCCTTCTCTTCCAAATCCATTCTCTTCTCTTTCTATATGTTCTTCCTCTCTTCCAGTGTGTACTCCTTTTTCCTCTTCAAAATGTTCTTCCTCCTTTCCTACAGAATACTCTTCACCTCCACCAAATTCATCAACATCTCTTTTCAGTCTGTGCCCTTCCTCAAATACTTCATCATTCTTACTTTCATCATATTGTTCAGAAGGCTCTTCAACGTAATCTGAGACAGTTTTAGATTCTGGCAACTCATAACGATGCTCTAAATCACGTTCAGCCTCATGTTCCTCATTTTGTGTTTCTTGTCCTTCATAATTTATTCCATTCACTACTGAATGAGTAGAAGCTAAAGGCGATTCGCTTTGTCCCAATTGCTCTTCCACTCTTGGAGAGCCTTCCAATTCAACTTCTTCATCTCTTCCAGCCTCAAAATGATGAGAAATTGAAGTTTCATCAGCCGCTGGGCTTTCAGCCATAACTACGACTTCCTCATCTTCAGCTTCTTTTTCATCCTTCATTCCTTCCTCCTCTCCCCAACTTTTATTTTCTGGTGATGGAGTTATCGTAACCTTAACAGGCGATTTCTGAATATTTTCTTCATTTTCTACATTTTGATTAGACATTTCTTCCATTTCAACAACCGCTTCTTCACTTTTTTGTCGTTCACTTAGGTATTCTTCCCTTCTTTCAATAGAATCTTCACTTTTTGCAAAACTAACACGAGAATCAGTCACTCTCTTTTCTTCATCACTCATTGGTTCGGCTTCTTTTAAACTCTCTTCTTTAATTTCCACAGAGCGTTCACTTTCTTCAACCTCGTCATTATGCCCATAATGCCCTCCATTCACTATTATATTTTCGGGAGATTGTGTGCTAACAATTTCTTCTTTTGGACTGATTATTCCTTCATTCTCCTTATCTTCATATATTTCTTCCTTTTGGATAGGCTGTTCAAATACCTCTTCCTCTTCTTTTTCTTCTGCCTTTATTTCAGCTTCTCTTTTGACACGCTCATAGTGTTGTTGAAGAGAACATGCTTGAGTTGGTTCTTGTGGAATTTCTTCTGATTCCTCCATTCCTTCTCTTCCAGGCGATGAAGAAATATTTTTATATTCATCCTCCTCCATCCCAGAACCAACTTCCTCTCCTCCAACAGGCGATATCACTTCTCTTTTAATTTCTTCCTCAGTTTTCATTTTCTCTTCGTTTTCATTCTCTTCCATCGCCTCATCCTGCCTTTCAATTAACTCTTCCTTAGCAGCAGACTTAACTTCAGTTCGAGCAGTTAGTTGTCCTTCACTCCCTTCCATGTGGTTTTCTGTTGCTTCTCCTCTCCTTCGAAGGGCCCAGGTGTTGGCCTAGCTTCTTCCTCATTTACAACATCTGCAGAAGCCTCGACTTGATCTCCCTCCCACTCAGAATCACCTGCTGGTTGCCCATCGGTTGTAGTAGTTTGTGAGGTGGCTAAGGAAATTGAAGGAGAGGGAGCCTTGAAATAAGGAAAAATTATTCGTTTCAACCAAGATTTTCTGGTACTATTAAGGAATTTTTATTTGAACTTCAGCTGACGTTAAATCGGGAAAGGCTGTTATTTCTCCATGATCGACTTTTACTAATATTCCGTTATGATTGAAAGGGAGATTATTCGATTCTTGAAAAATTTGTTCATCTTTAATAATTTCTGTACAAAGACAATTTACATTATCGTCAGCTGGTCGACATGAACAGGTAAGTGGATCTACAGTGCAATTAAAATTGCCTGCTTGGTATTTATTTGCGCATTTAAATTTTTGCAATTGCGTTTCAATTTCATAATCTAGCATTGCTGCCTTTTTTCCATCAAATACAAAATTTTTATTTAAAACAGGCAGTATGGGAGTGGTTATACTTTTTAATGTGATTTCTATTTTATTTTTACTTTGTCTTGATGCCATTCCTGGTACTAGATTAAAGGCACTTTCCCACTTTCCTTCATGTGTATCAATTGTTAAATTCATACTTAGTCCTAGCTCCCATTTAGGACATTCAAAAATTTCCAAAATTCTTTCATCAACAGGAGTGGCATAAAATCTATAGAAAGTACAAGCCGGGGTTGTATAGAAACATCCGGAAAACCAACCACCGCTACTTTCTACACATTGTGTTATTCCTGGGTAATCATTCGTGGCATTAAATTCAATTAATTTTTCATACGATTTTATTTCGCTGCATTTTAAATCATAGCAGCTTCCTGTTTCAGCGCATCTCTTTGAAGATTCAACTTGCATGTGGAAAAATCGGGAAAAATATTTTAAACTTTTAGTACAAAAAGCCTTTGTTTTATGAATTTCCATTGTTAAAGTCCCTAATATTTTTCCGGTATGATCGTTTAAAGAAACTTGGATTTGTTGCTCTTCGGGATTAAATGTCAAAACAATTATTTTTTCAAACGAGCAGCTTCTTTCACCGAGTTTATTCACAACACAACTTTCTTCAGTTGCTTGTAAACTTGTGAGGCAAAAACATTTAGATAAATTAATTAAAAATAATAGAGCAACAATCACTTTCATCGGACGTTTTTTCTTTATTATTAATGGTTTAGTTGGTTTTGGCTTTGACTCGTTTTTAATTTCCTCTTCTCTTTTACTTTTTCTTGCGATGAATCGAATAAGTTTTATTTTATGTTTTATTACCCAGAATGTCACTTTCAAAATCAAAATTATTATTTTAATGGCAATGTATATTAAGTTAGAACAAAAGTAAACTAAAATCACAAACAATATCATGGAAACTTCGGGGAAACAATGCGGGTTCATTAAACGTTCAAAACAAAAAATGCAATTCATTATTTCACAAATATTTAATTTTTCGCACTCAATTTTCATTTTCTTTATTAACTCTCCGTTTTTATAAAATTGAACGTCAGTTTTGTATTTATCTAAAATAATTTCATGGCCCAATGTTATATTTTCGATTTTTTCGGGGAGGGCTCTATAAAAACATTTCTTTTCATTACAAATTTCTATTCCACCTATCATTTCATTTGTTTTTACTTGTATTCCTTCTTTTGTGCATTTTAATTCACACCCTTTACAAAGTGACGTTTCTTTTTTCGGAAAGCCATAAACTTTTATTTTAACTCTTCCCCATGCCTGTATCGCTACTCTTCCCTCCGGAGCGACAAAAAATGCTTTTTCAATCCTGGGGTAAAAACAAAATCTAGTTCCCTTTTCGGAACAATGGTATTTACTACAATATCTTGGGGAACCCGTAATTTCCTTTCCTTTTCCAATACAAACAAATTCTTTTATTGCATCTTCCAGTTCTATTTTTAATTCATTCACTAAATATTTTTCTCCAGAAATCAATTCAATTTGGTTAAATTCCTTTATTTCAAATGTTTTTGCTCATGATTTATCTTCCTCAGTAGAACAAATTTTTGGTTTATTGTTTTCCAAAATTTCTTTTATTTTTTCACTTTTATCTTCCGTTTGGCCTTTAAAGAAAGTACATTGTTCTGCCCAGCCGGGACACGTGCATTTTTCATCACAGAGGTACTTGATATTTTTAGTTGGCCAACGTATGTGTTTATTTTTATCGTTGCAGCCTATTTCTTTCCAGCAAAGTGACTTGTCTTTTCTTTCAAAAATAACTAAACCGTTCGATTTACATTCTTCTAAATGTTTCAATACTAAATTTTCATTTTGTGCGCAGCGTATACTTTGAACTTGAGCTACTTGACCGAAAGTCAGGAAAAAAATTATTAACATTGTGAGAAGCGTTACCGAACTTTTTGCTAAAACTTTTAACGCGCTAGTTTGTTTTGATTTTTGATTAGACCCTTTATCCTCCTTTTCCTTTTTAGGGGTACAAAATTCGGTTCTAATTCTTATTAAATCATTTTTATGCCTCTCTATCTCATTATTTAACTCCTCTTTAGCTTTTTCTTTCTCTGCCAATTCTTTTAAACAATTTTTAATTTCTAATATCTCTCTTTCTTGTTTTTTCAGTTCTTTACCCATAGCTTCTTTTTCAATTTTTTCCTTTGACAAATCATTTTCAACGCTATTTAATTTTTCCTCTAGCGTTAAATATTTCCCTTCTAGTTTTTTATATGACTCTTGCCAATCCGTCTCTACTTTTGATGAAGAGTGTTTCTCTTTTTCATTTAAATTTTGATTATTTTGGTTTACAAATTCGTTCCTTCTATACCAACATTTTTGTGAGGGGTGTCCGGATCTGCCACATATTGAACATTTCATTTCTTGTCTGAACATTGCTATTCTTACCTGTTCAATATTTTGCTTTTCTTCTTCTGATTCGCTTTCTATTTCTCTATAGTTTATTTTCTTTTTAGCTCTCAATTCCATTTTGTGTGTTTTCTGGTTTTCATTTTTTAATTCCTTATCCTCAATTTTTGCCTTTTCATTTTCAATCATTTTTGCGGGCATTTCTGCTTTTAATTCCATGGGATATAATAAGGCAATTGCGCGGGTAATTATTTTTCCTTTAACCCGAACTTTGGCAATTCTTATTAACCCGTCTTTACTTTTAATTAATTCAACAATTTTACCTAAATTCCAAGCTTGTATGGGCACCTGTTTATTTTGTATCAATACAATTTCACCAATTTCGGGGATGTAATTTTTCTTATACAATTTTTGATTATGTTTATCTGCCCTTTCTTTTAATTTATTTAAATACTCTTTTTCCCATTTTTGCCAGAAATGATTTAACATTTGATTTGAATTTTCCCATTCCTTAATTAATGTCTCTCTTTGGGTTTCCTTTTCTAAAAATTCTTTTTCATCTGAAATTTCTAACTCAATATTTTCTTCATTACGTGATGGTAAAATAAGATCAATTGGACGCAATACAGTATAGGCGTCGTCGAAATTTTCATATACATAAGTTAGTGGCCTTTTATTCATAATTGTTTTTATTTCTGAAAGTATTGTTCTCAACTCCTCATAGTTTAACATTTTTCGGCCTATAGCAGCCTTTAAAGAATTTTTCATAATTTTTACCATAGCCTCATATAAGCCGCCAAACCATGGGCTAAGGCTTGGGATAAACTGCCAATGTATTTTTTCTTTTTCTGTTTTTTGTTCAATTTCTTGTATTACTTTACATGTTAATTTATATTGCGTGCCGTTATCGCTAATAAAATATTTTGGTTTGCCGTATTCGGATATAAATGTTCTCATGGCCTGTATACAAGATTTAGCTGATAGACTGGGTACCAATTCCAAATGCGTAAATCTTGTGGCCATACAAGAAAATATTTCAATCCAAACTTTAACAATTTCACCGCTACTATTTCTAACTTCAAAAGGGCCGGCATAATCCAGGCCTGTGTTTTGAAATGGCTTTGAACGCAAAATTCTTTCTTTTGGGAGATCTGGCATTTTTGGAATAGAATATGGCAATAATTTCGCTCTTTTACAATGTAAGCATCGATTTATTATTTTCTTTATTAATTGTCGGCCACTTGGTACCCAAAACATTTGTCTCAATTCAATTAAACTTTGATTAATTCCACTATGTAATGTGCGCAAATGAGCTTCTAACGCAATTTTTTCTGCCAGTGGGGCTTCTTTTGAAATAAAAATAGGCGTTTTTGTGTTTAAGTTCCCTAAACGCCCTGGGCATGTCCATATATTATAATTTTCTTTTTTCATTTTTAATTCCTGTATTTCTTTTTCAGTTGGCGGGTATTTATTTTGGGCTTCTATTATTAACAATATTTCACCCATTTTTCTTAAATCTACTTTATTTTTAATTTTTTGTAAATTTGACCCGAATTCTGTTTTAAATTTAATTTTATTTCCAAAATTTTTTATTGCTTTACAAAACGCGGTAGAAATATTGACAAGTTTAGGCCATTCATTACGCAATTCCGTATTGATTAAATCCTTTGTCAACATTTCAATTTTTATTTCTTCCAAATCTTTACTCCATTCTTTTTCATTCCTTTTTTACTTTGGTGATTGGGGCCACTTTTCTTCACTCTCTTTCAAAAACTGCGGACCCTTCCACCATTCTTTGTAATTTTTCAGTTCATTTGTAGTGCAACCACGTGACGCAATATCTGACGGATTTTTTTCTGTGGGAACGTATTTCCATTCAATTTCTTTATTTTCTCTCAAAATTTTAATTCTATTTTTTACAAATTTTGGTAATTTATCGATGTTTGACAATAAAATCCATGAAAGTACACATTTAGAATCCGTCCAGATATATATTTTTGTAAATTTAATATCAATTTCTTTTATTATAAAATCTGACATTCTTTTTCCAGCAACGCTTGCCATTAATTCTAATCGGGGAATTGTTAATTTATTTTTTATTGGGGCTAATTTTCCTTTAGACATTATTATAGAAGTTTGTACCCCATTTTTCTCTAATTGTCTCAAATAAGCGACTGCTGCATAAGCTTTACCCGAAGCGTCTACAAAAACGTGTAATTCTGTTGGCTTTTGTTTATTAACTGAAATTCGTCTGATTTGAAAATTACCATGATCTACTTTAATATTATTCCAATCCTCACATTCAGTCTTTTCAATTTCTTCATCCCAAGTTTTATCTGTTTTCCACAAACTTTGGAAGAATAATTTTCGAGGCAAATTAGCGGGTACTAAAAATCCAAGTGGGTCAAAAGAGCTGGCTAAAGATTTTAAGACACTTCTTTTCGTCCATTTCGTTTCTTTAATTTCTTTCAGTTCAATTAAGATTGTGTCTTTTTCTAAATTCCAATTGAGACCCAAAAGTTTTATAGGGTTCTTTTGCTCTTTATCTCCAAATGTTTTATTTATTTCATTCAAATTGCTACAAAATTCGTGTAAATTCATTTTCGCCTCTTCGAATATTTTGGATACCTTTTGACATTTTTGTTTTGCCTCTTTTTCATTTTCGGCACAGAGAAAAACGTTATCCGCATAAATACCCCTTTTTAATTCAACACTCAATGGTGAATTTAAATTTTCAATGTGGTAATTAATTACGGCTGCTAACAAATATGGAGCGGCGATTACCCCGAAGGGCATTCTGGCAAATCTCCATTTAACAATATTTTCATATGTTGGGGGTGACTTTATATCATTAATCCATAAAAATCGTGTTAAATCACGTTGTGCTTCATTGATTGCTATTTGATGGAACGCCCCCTTTACGTCAGCCGCAATCAAATTTTTAAAGGTTCTAAGTCTTAAAAGCATTCCACAAATATCAGGCAATAAGACTGGACCCCTCAATATTATTTTATTTAAACTCAATCCATCCTTTGTCCTACAAGAAGCGTCAAAAACAATTCTTACTTTCTTCTTTTCTTCATTTATGACGCAATGGTGGGGTATATAATGGGCTATCTCACTTTCTTTCTCACATTTTTCTATAATACAATTTTTAGCCTGTTCAACAAATAATTGATTATATTTTTCTAATATTTCAGGATTTTTATTTAATTTATTCCAAACCCCTTGTAAACGTTTCATCGAAATCCAAAAATTGTCAGCTAAAGTTTGATTTTCTTTGATGGGCCAGGAAACAATATATCGACCGTTATTTTCCCTTTTTATATTTGATTTAAAATGTTCAATAGCAAATTTATCGTCTTCAGTTTCCTTTTTTATATCAATGCCTAATCCCTCTAATTCCCACCAAAGGTCTGTATTTACCATTTGACAAATTTTTGTATTTTCAGGGCCTTTTGAAATTTTTCCCTTTCCATAAATTATATTTCCAATTTTTGTATCAACAGTTAAAAATCCAGATTTTAATTGTTTATTTCCAAAAATTAATCCGTAATAATCGGCACCTATTAATATTTCGGGTTTTACCGTTTCGAATTGCCCAATGTTTATTTTTGACATTTGGTCAATTCTATTATTTATTTTAATTTTTTCTAAAAATTCGACCATGTCATTAGTGCCTCTAACAATCATATTTATTTTGTCATTATTTAAACAAATTAAATCAATAATATAAATAGGCGCATTAACAGTTATTGTTTTATTGAAAAGTCCAATTCCTCTAAATTCTTTATGACCAATGGGTTTCAATCCAAGTTTTACCGCAGTTGAATTATGTAAGAGGGTGATCTCGCATCCAGAATCGAAAAATGCTTCCACATTTAAAAACTTCTTCTTTGTGGGATTTTTTATTTTTACTTGTGCGACCTGTAAAAGTGTCTTTTCATTATTGTTTTCTTTAATTTCTTTTTTATTTGCAAAATTTTGAATTAATATATCATTTTCGTTTTCAGAATTATCAGAATTTTCTCTGACGGTCAAACACATTTGTTTTCTTTTATTAAATTCGTTTCCCTGTTTTTCAAAATTTTTCATGGGGTATTGTTTTTTTTGCCCTTTTGTATATAAATTATGACAAAAAACAGAAATGTGGCCATTTTTCTTGCAATTAAAACAAAATGTATTGGCCTTACAATCTATAGAGCGATGATTATTTCTTAAACACTTAAAACAAATTTTTAGCTCTTTTATTCTTTTTATTCTCTCCTCCTTAGTTTTATATTTCTCACATTTATCTTCCCAATGAGAGAGAGAACAAAATTTACATGCGTGCTTTTGCTCTTTTTGGAACGCATACATAGCTGTTCCTTTGAATTTTTTATAAGGTTCTCTATTATTATATTTTTCAGGCTCTCTGTTTTTATATTTTTCAGGCTCTCTATTTTCTTTTTTCTGATAGGGCCTTTCATTTAATTCTGAACCGAAATCTTTATGGAGCATGTGCACGTCTTCTTCTAATTTTAAATATTCATCTAAAAATTTTAATAATTTTTCTAAAGACCATAGTGGATCTATTCTTTTTCTCTTAAATATTTCGGTCAGTATCTTTTTGGGCATTTTTGATTCCACCTCTAAAATTAGCTGTTGGTGCTCAGTATTTTCGCCCATTAATTTTAACTGATTTATAATTGCCTCAATTTTTCTTAAAGTTTTTCTAATTTCGGGCACAAATTGGTTCGCCCTGGGCAATTTTCTTAATTCAGAATGCAGGCTGCTTCTGATTGTTATTTTATCCCCAAATCTATTTTTTAGGAGATCTAAAACGAGCTTGTAATTACCCGCTTCCAACGGATATGGCTCGACAATTTCTAGGGCTTCATTTCTCAAGGCACTTTTTAAATACTGCATTTTCCTTTTATCAGGAATTGGCTGCTCATCTACTGCCGCTTTAAATTCTTCGAAGAAACTTTGCCAATTTTTAGTATCCCCCGAAAATTCTGGCAGTTTTATTTCTGGCAATTTGACATTCATTTCATTTGCCTGACTTTGTGCCTGCCCTGTATTATTATTTAAAATTTCTTCTAAAATATACTCATTTTCATTTAGGGCCTCAATAATTTCCCGAGCTTCTTCCATAATAGTTAGATAACCCTCGGGCCCATTTGCGAAATTTTTATATTCATTCTTTTCCTCTATTTTTTCTTCTCTGTCTAAAGTAGGGAAAAGATTTACATAATTGACTGTCTGGCCGTCTAAATCATTTAATAAATTACTAATTTTCTTTTTAGTTAAAGTTATATATTTTATCATTCTTTTGGCCGTTAAAATTTTTTCTTCCATACCTAAATCAGCAGCAATTCTAAAATCGGCGTCTGTAGCCGCTGTATTGTATCTGATGAGGCGCTCTTTCAGCCCATTGATTGCCTCTTGTATTACTCCTGACATATCCCCTTTGAAAAGATTGCCTACTGTAAAATGTCCTTGGACCTCGGTAAATTTGACCTCTATAAGCTTGTTGTTGACCACGGAAGGTTTGTTGGCCTCTCACAAATCGGTAGTTTCTGCGGTGTTGTCTAAAATTCCTATGCTGCCCACGAAAATTTCTTTGATTTCTTGGTCGTCGGTAGTTCTGTTGCCTCTGATTT